CATGTAAATATCACCCTGCAGCTAGGTTTTCCCTTAAGTGTATTTGACAAATGTGCTAGGATCCAAGTTAAAAGGAGTAGCTTGGCTGAGCTCAATTTTGGAAGATTCCACTGATGCCATAGATCCCATGGCACCTCTTTTAACTTTTAATAACAAAATTTACCTTAAAGCCAGAGCAGTAGACCATTTATAACCTCCAGTCCAATTGCAGTACAGCATTTTGAGAAAAGTACGGTTACCTTAAAAAGAGAAAAACATTTCACATAGAAATACAGGCACACAAATACTCTGCTACAGAGACTTCATTACAACCACTGGCCTCATACAGGGGAACGATGAGGTGTTCTATTCCTACAGAGATTTGTAGTCTCAAAACCCCACAGCGTCAGTTCTTCTTGTCCGGCAGGGTTGCTACGAGCTGAAATTGCCTCGATGACAGTGGGAATGGCCACAAAGTTTAAAATATTTTTAAAAATGAACTCCTTTTAGAATAATCATTATGAATAGTATTTAAAACAAACAGTAAAAAGTAAGTCTTTACCACATAAGAGCATAGATTACTTAAGAGCAAGGGTTACAGTTTAATGAACATAAATGTCATTAATCTCAAAACCAGATTATCAAAACTTATGACTTAGAATTTTTACGCCATAGAAAAAGCAGACGAGAATGGAGAACACAGCAAAAGAACCATGAACACTTAAATTAATTTATGTATAAAACAGGAGGCAAAAAACGGGACTTAAATAAAAATAAAACAAGGGGCAATGGAAATAACAAGGGAAGAGGCACTGAGAGAACTGGTTAATTAACCTTGTGGGAAAATAAGTGAAACCAAATCCCTATATCTCCAGTCATATACTAAAATTAATTCCAACTGGATGTTAGACATATACGAAAGGCCAAATTTAAAAGTTTAAAATGAAAATACGTGAAACTATCTCTATGTTCTGCGTAGGAAAATATTTCTTAAACAATAGCCCAAAAGATTTATGAGTGACTAATTAATAACTTGAACTCATTATATTTAAAAGGTTCTATTCATCAAATGAACCATAGTGAAAGTGAAGAAAAAAATATCACAAACCATTAGAGGAATTTAGGGACACCAAATAATATTATCTAAAACAAAAAAGACTTACTAGAAATCTTTTAGAAAAGACAAAAGAAGGACAGCAAGGAAGTAGGCTTCAGAAAGTTCAAGGAAAAATGGAAGTGAAAGATGATGGGATTTAATTTTTCCATGAGTTTTCTTGCCGTCCCCCATCTTCAGTGGTGAATTGGGTTATTAAGACTGCTGCACCCTGGGGAGGGGAGCAGCAAGATCCCCAGGGAATGATGAGGGTGGACATTGGGGACAGGGCGTGGTGCTCCAACAGGCTGGACTGGAAAACACTCTTAAAGGCCAGCGATCCTTGAACTAACTACAAGCTTTTCTTTCTTGGTATATTTTAATTTGTTCTTTGTCAGTGGCTTGATGTTC